ACCACTACATCAGAAGAATCAACAAGTACTTCAGAAACGTCAACAACCTCGAGCGATACCACATCTGAAGGAAGCACAACACCAAATGTCTATACGACGCCAACTGTAGATTCAACAACTTCCAGCGAAGCTACAACCGAAAGCACCACTACATCAGAAGAATCAACAAGTACTTCAGAAACGTCTACAACTTCGATCTATACGACGCCAACTGTAGATTCAACAACTTCCAGCGAAGTAACAACCGAAAGCACCACTACAACAGATGAATCCACAAGTACTTCAGAAGCGTCAACAACTTCGAGCGATACCACATCTGAAGGAAGCACAACATCGAATGTCTATATGACGCCAACTGTAGATTCAACAACTTCCAGCGAAGCAACAACCGAAAGCAAGACTACAACAGATGAATCAACAAGTACTTCAGAAGCGCCAACAACTTCGAGCTATACCACATCTGAAGGAAGCACAACACCAAATGTCTATACGACGCCAACTGTAGATTCAACAACTTCCAGCGAAGCAACAACCGAAAGCACCACTACAACAGATGAATCCACAAGTACTTCAGAAGCGTCAACAACTTCGAGCGATACCACATCTGAAGGAAGCACAACACCAAATGTCTATACGACGCCAACTGTAGATTCAACAACTTCCAGCGAAGTAACAACCGAAAGCACCACTACAACAGATGAATCCACAAGTACTTCAGAAGCGTCAACAACTTCGAGCGATACCACATCTGAAGGAAGCACAACACCAAATGTCTATACGACGCCAACTGTAGATTCAACAACTTCCAGCGAAGTAACAACCGAAAGCACCACTACAACAGATGAATCGACAAGTACTTCAGAAGCGTCAACAACTTCTAGCGATACCACATCTGAAGGAAGCACAACACCAAATGTCTATACGACGCCAACTGTAGATTCAACAACTTCCAGCGAAGCAACAAGTGAAAGCACCACTACATCAAATGAATCGACAAGTACTTCAGAAGCGTCTACAACTTCGAGCGAAACCACATCTGAAGGAAGCACAACACCAAATGTCTATACGACGCCAACTGTAGGTCCAACATCTTCTGAAAGCACAAGCGCCAGAAGTTCCTCTACCTCATTTGCGTATCCAGTAGACGTTACGACTACAGCTTCTGATACAGACTGTGAAGGTGTTGTTCATTTGACATTTTTAAATAAGTAGTACTTGGTGTACACTAAGGATAGGCGTGAAATTGAAATGTTTTTCGGGTTTTTGAAAACTCCTATTGTTCACACGTTCTCGATAGCATACGCCTAATAATATTATTAGTTGATATACAACGTATTTTTATGATTTTCAGTGACATAATTGCATACGCATAAGCACTTAAATACCTAGTAAGTAATTGAAAAATATAAATTTTAAATTTGTGATTTATAAAATGTTTTAACTGTACTTTGTTTACATGCTCTTTGGCTGATGGGATTAAGAAGGTTTGCAAAATTTGTAGCAAAGGTTGAGAAAATTCGACCATACATACATAAATATGGCGTGGCAGCTAATTATATCTTGAAATATTTAACTGAAATGATTTCTGGTCTCAAAACGAAATTTTTGGCTACGAAGGAATATGATTGTATTTAAAAGAAAACCTCTTTTGAAAACCAATACATTTATTGGTAAAACTTTATCGATCTCAACATTGATATTCATAGATGAGCAAATCTCACGAGTGGTTTTTGACCGACTTCCAAAAAAGAGAGGATGTTATCAGTTCGTCGGAATATTGTTTTTTTTTTTTTTTTCTTTTGTTGTATGTATGTTACCGCATAACGTTGGACCACGTCAACCGATTTCGATAATTATTTTTGCATCGGAAGGGTAGTGTCTCAGAGGTGGTCCCATACTCCGATCATTGGATCATATATATATTTTTTTTTAAGCCGGTTTTTTTTTGCTAAAACTTACTTGTTTTAGTGTCACTCCCTTTATCTCCACAGAAAAAAAACGCTTAAGTATTTCTCTCATTAATGTAAATATATATGTATCAATGGAGTTCCAGAAACAAGTACAATAAAATTTATATCAATCATTTGATCAATTTTTACCTTAAAGCGTTTACTTAGGCGAAAAACTACCGAAACTACTCATTTTTGCTTGCGACAATCATAATTGTTTTTTTTTTAATAACTTTGGGAAGTTTTCAAATAAATTGTTCATATTAGTGGCAATGGACGTTGACATCAAATATAATATATCTGTGAAGTTTCAAGACTGTGCCACCATGCATTATATGTATCTGACGCAGCCATTTTGTAATTTTTGAAATTTTAAGATTTTTTAATAGTAATAATTTAAGATGCTTCAAAATATTCCAATTAAATGGTGGAAATGGTCTTGTTGCCAAAATGAACAAATCTAGTGTCATAAAACTATGTAGTGTGCCAACAAATGAAAAAAATTACATTGAGTAAAGGATGGCTATAATTTGAGAAACTAAAATTGCATTTTTACAATTTTTATTGGTACATTCAAAATTCATTCTTAAATTGTTATATACATGAAGAAAGTAATATGTATTTACTTTTTTTGTTCTTTGAACTGAAGATAGTGCATTTTCTAACAACCATTTTCGATCAAAAACGCGTTTTTGTCGAAAAAAATAACAACTCGTGAGATTTGCTCATGTCTGATTCGAAAATTAATTAATTTGCTTTTATTCTTAAATATACATATTAATCGTTCAATATCTATTGCATAAAGCTATACTTTATAGTCATTGGGATTAAACTCTTCTTTGGTTGAGCATAAGAATGGATAGCGTGGATTCATGCCAGTTCTACAGTGGGAGCCTGGATAAGGGCCAGAACGGAATATGGGCTTGTAGCAGAATAAGCGACGGGCATAGTTGCACGTGAAGAGCACATTAAATCCATAATCGGTTTCATATAGGGAAGCGGCACAGCCAACGCGATTATTGCGATCCATTACCATTTTACCAAAGTGTAAAATTAATTTGCTAGAAATATTAGAAACAGTTTGTTTTTACACAAAAAAAAACTTACTCAAAAAAAAAGACAAAATAAATTTCAAAGGAGAATCATCCACTTACTATTGCGGTGGATGATACGAATCTATTTCCGCCTGTGTACAATCGTGATATTGCTCATACCAGTAAACACGTATATGTTCCTTAATATCATCGTAAATTTTGGTGCGATTGAATCTCGATTTCGTATAGAACAACCAACCGATATTTTGATCGAGCGTATTATAGCGCGCAGTGGTGAAACATTTCTGATCCTCATATATTATGCCACACTGTTTCACGTTAAATTCGGCAAAGTATGACAACTCATCATCCCATTCCAAAGTGGCCATAGCAGCAGCTGGCTCGAAAACAAGTCCCTTTGCCACTTCGTTGCGATATTTATTATGCTCACCTAGAAAAAGTTGTTGAAACTCCTCCGTAATCGGCAACATTTCAGCATTGGATGGGCAACCTGCGGCGAAGGCCTGTCATACATTTTTTATTTTTGGTAAATTTGGGAAAAATTCAATGCTTACCCCGGTATGGTTACAGGCCAAGACATGTTTCTCGACACGGCCACTACACATGTAAGCTGCGCTACAATAGTCCACATCGCCGACGGCGGCATCCACAGCTGCAGTGTAAAGCAGGGCAAAAATTGATAAATATGTAATCAGCATATTTACTTCTACTTTCGTAAACATTCTACTAAGTAGTTATAGATTTAAAACGGTTTTGTCTCTGCAAAATATAAACTCAGCTTTATATAGCGCTGATTAGGTGGCTAGAAAAAAATCCCCAACACAACTGTCCTTACATACATAATTCACAAGCAAGAAGATAACAGCTGGATTTCGTTTAAATTTTCCCAATAAACAGTTTTGTTTCAGTTTTAGGAATATGCCTGATGAGTTATCAAATATTATCCGATAAATAATTTTAAAATGCAATACAGAAAGTCTAACTCGCCTGCGAAGAAGATATGTATCTGCCAGTCTCATGATGAGGGACACTAAACCAAAGGGCTCAACCGGAGAATGAGCTATCATATTATTAATTGAAGTTAAGCGTATTTAAGTTTAACCAATAAAAATTAAAAATAATAATTATTTGATGTTTTATTTTTTCGTTCAAAAGGATTGATCGTAATTTTTACATACAAAAAAAAAAGGTGTCAGGGTCTAGGAACGAGACAGAATCGGTCTAACGGATCTAGGTTCACCTCTAACCTCAAGAAACATGGCGGATATTATGTGACAAGCACGGTTTTTAAGGTTAGGAAAAATCCTGACGTCATGGAGCAAAACGGACTTCAGATTCTTGGTCAGCGCATCAAAATAGATAGGGATAAATATGTCTGGAATGATCAAAGCAACAATAGGTAGAGGATTTGTGTGAAGGAAAACAACCAGGAGCATGAATCTGTCCCCTGGTTGTGAATGAAATTATGGAGATTTTTAAAACTAGGGGAATAAGGGTTGTCGCCTACGCCGACGATTTAGTGATACTCATCACTGGCGAATTCCTCTCAACGATAAGTAAACTAATGGAGAGTGCATCAGGTGATGTCTCTAAGTGAGCCAAACAGAATGAATTAGGGGAAACTACTTAGAAACTCTCCTCAGAGGCAAAATACCTTGGAACTATTTTGGACTCCAAGTTTAATTGGGAAAAAAATTTTAGAGGAGAGAGCCAACAAATCTGTAGCAGCATTCTACACATGCAAAATGACCTTTGGAAAGCAATGGAAACTATTACCGTACGTCACCTATGGCATGTACACCACAGTCATCAGACCAATTGCAAGCCACGGGTCCCTAGTACGGTGGAGGACTCTAGAAAAAGGATTTAATAGGAAAAGTGCAAAGACTCGCATGCCTTGGAGGCAGTGAGTAGTACACCTCAGCAGGGGCTTAATATGATATTTCATTTGCAACCGCTGCATATTTTCATCCATGGAGCGCTCTAAGCCTCTAATTGAATGCAATAAAAAGGGGCCAGCTCAATAGAATTAAAAATAACATAGAAGTCAGCAAAGTTTACATTCCGCCTGTTTGGGCCTTCAATACCCATTAGGTTCCCTACCAGAGATGTGTAGGATGCAGGTCTACCAATAGTAGAGGGGGGTATGCCAATATACACTGACGGTTCAAAGATGGAACAAGGAAACGGTCCTTTCGTCTACCAAACGAGTGCAGTGTCTTCCAAGCGGAAATCTACGCTATAGAGACGACGACTAGACTTTTACTCAGTAGTAGAGTTCCAGAAGACAAAGCCACTATTTTTATCGACAGTCAAGCAGCACTGAAGGCAATAGGATCTAAAATAATGAAATCGGAAATTGTATGGAAATGTCGCACCACGCTGGCGTGACTGAGCCGTGGCCGCGACGAATGACTTATGGACCAAACGGAAAGACTGTGAGACCACAAGATTATTATGGCTGCAGTATAGTAGGAAAAAGACAAGGGACACGCTGAAACTCAAAAGATTCTGCGTCATCACAAGACACTGTGCTATAACGCTTCAACGGTGACGAATACCAACAAGTACTCTCTGCAGAGGCTGCCGTGATGAGGATGAGGAAGAGTCAGTTGACCACTATCTGTGTCAATGTCCAGGTCTAACGCAAAGCGATGCCAGCCCTTGGGTTCACGCTTCTTCAACAGTCTAGGCGAGCTAGCGGAGGTGGAATTGTTGTGTTTCCTCGGCTTCATTAGGGATAGTACTGAGTATGTACTTCCTATGTACTTTCCTAAATTTAATTAAATAAAGAAGCTCCATGCTTATTGGGTTATTAGTCCAAACTTTCTTATCTTTACAAAATACTGCTTTGCGTTTCTTAGAATTTTTGATTGCTCTCTAAGTCAGCGACTATCTTTTGTTTTTCCATTGTTTTAATTATCCAGATTTATCGGTCGCTTCAGTTCTGGTGACTAATTTTAGCTAAGTAATTAACAAATACATACTAACATACATACAAATATTTCAAGTGCACTCTTAACCGATATCGAGTCGTGCAAGTTCACATAAATAATTTTTATATTTTAAAATGACACAATTCAAATTAATTGCACAACCATTGGTGTTTGCGTAAGAATGTGAAAGCACATATATACATACTAGGACGGGTCAAATTTTTTGTATCAAAAGCACATCGCGATTATGGTTATTTGGGTAATTTTAAGCATTTTTGCCCAAGAAACCATAGGTCTAAAATGAATTTCGAGCCGGCGATTTTTTCTATCTAGTTTTTTTTTTTCAAAAAGTTACTCACGTGTTGAAACAGCTGTATTGAAAACTAGCCAAAATGTATCTCTGAGGGTTTTCGGGGTCGAGGAATCCATTTCTGGCATTAATTTTTTCTTTTGAGGGCCACCAGAGGGTACTATTTTTTGGATTTTAACGCTTTTTTTCCGAAAATCGACAACATTGTTGCGAAAACCCATTAAATTTGACTTTCTCGTAATGCAATTTCAATTTTTAAATAGCCTAAAATGTTCAGCGTTGAAAATTAGGGAGGGGGGGGGGGAGGTGTATTCATGCACAACTTATATCGATTTTATTGAATTTAGGACAAAAAATCCGTTTTTTTTTTAATTTGATATCCGAATTTGACAAAACAAACTTTTTCCTTATTTTAATATATATATTTTTTTTTAAATTCCAAAATTCAACTTAAAAGATAAAAACATATGGAATGTAAAAAAATACATAAACAATTTCTAATGTTTCAATTTTTAAACACGTACAACGTATTTTTTTTAATATTATGTTGGTAATACTGTTTATCGACATATTATATGACAAATGATATGTGTGGCAGCATGCTTTTTCGTTGTCATACTGTGTTTAGTATGTAAAATAAAAAATAAAAAATAAAAAAATTCAGTGCTGAACATTTTAGGCTATTTAAAAATTTAAGTTGCATTACGAGAAAGTCTAATTTCGTTGATTTTCGCAACAATGTTGTCGATTTTCGGAAAAAAGGCGTTAAAATAAAAAAAAAGTACGGAGGCGCCTCCTGTCGGCGCTCAAAAGAAAAAATTAATGCCATATATGGATTCCTCGACCCCAAAAACCCCCTGATACACATTTTGGCTAGTTTTAAATACAGCTATTTCAACATGTGAGCCAGTTTATGAAAAAAAAATAGATAGAAAAAATCGCTGGCTCGAAATTAATTTTAGACCTATGGTTCCTTGGGCAAAAATGCTTGAAATGACCCAAATAATAATAATCTGGCTTCAATCGTATCAAGTGTTGTCTGTAGCGTTGATCGTCTGACTTTTCAAAAGCTCATGATGCAGGATTCCCTTATGGTCGCACCAAATGCAGAGCGTTGCCTTGCTGTCAGGGATAATTGGCTTTGACGTCGATGGTCCGGGTTCACCGTGTTTAACATACGCCTTCTGGCGCTTTGGCTTGTCCTTAGGAATAAATTATTCATTGTCGGTAACGATATAATGCAAGAACTACATATCGAGCCCTAACCGCCAAAATAACGTAAGCGACACTTTTTTCAAAATTTTCCTTTTGATGCAGAAATATTCCTAGAGCATCTAGATGCATTTCTGCATCAAAAAGAAAATTTTGAAAAAATGTCGCTTACGTTATTTTGGCGGTTAGGGCTCGATATCAAAATATGTGACCTGGTCTACGGAAAGGGGGCTTAGGTGTCAAAAAATCAATTTTCACTTTTTGGTTGATTCGGATGGAAGATGAGATGCTTTCTCACGTGGTGAAAAGCAGAAAATCCTAACTTGCTTAGAAGTGTACTAAAAATGTAGAGAAAGAAGAGTAAAAATACGACAAAATATAATTTATTGGTAATGAACAAAATACATTGAATTATAAGCTATAAAGACATGATTATACACTAGAAAAACGTATTATGGGCCAAAAATAATAATGCTGAGTAGTTTATGTATTTTTCTTTGTTGTCGTTTTCCTTGAGATCTTTTTACGTGTTGATCCTGAGGAAGATGGACCTGGTTCCTCGTCTGGTTTGAGAACATCTTCATTAGTTTTTGCCTTCCGTTTCTTCGATGGCAAATCTTTCGGCAATGGAGCCACAATATCTACTTTAGATATATCCGAAACTAAGCTGCGAAGATTGTGATAGATGTACCACTGACGTTCCAAAGATAAACCGGCTGGTTGTATAACTTTCGGCATTTCAGGATCGATAGGTTTTAACAGAAGCTTAAAGGACTGCACTTCTTCACTGTCTGCGAATTTCTTTGTTTTTACACAATCTGTAGAGATTATGAAATGATGGAATTGCGTTATTCCAACAAGTGACTTGTACAGTGGTTTAAAATAGCTGTCCCATTCATACCATCATCATCATCTTCTGCCTGAGATACACATACTTCGTCTTCATCATCATCGCTCTCTTCATAGTTTTCATCATCGTTTTCATCATCCTTTTCATGGAAATATTGTCCGTATACGGCACTGAACTCCTCATCAACACTCATGTTTCATTTCATGCGAAATGCGACGACGATAATCAACAGAAACAGTAAACGTCACTTCTTCAGTGTTACTTTTTTAAATGTTCCACACTAGCAACTTACACGATGAACTATAATAATATTCCGACCAACAACAACACTTACTGGACCAACAACAACACTTACTGAACCAACAACAACACTTACTGGACGTCCGGCGCGGAGAACAATTAACGAGATAATGAGAAACTGACGAAACGAGGTGCTTACTTTTAACAGCTTTTTCACAGAAAACTAGTTTTCGCACGTAAGCTCCCTTTTCGTAGACCAGGTCACATATGATGTTTGTGCAACAGGGCGTATGAGGAGCATATTTTTCATTCATGTTGAAAAAGTGTTGATTCGCAGACTCGCAGTCCAGTTCTGGAAGGAGGTCGGCTTTACACGAAATTTTTTTCTTACCGAAATGTCAGCATTTTTTCGCCCGAACACCATCGAATGCCGAAAATTGGATTCATCACTCCTAAGATTGCAGTTTCGGATAAAACAAATTTTATTGCATCGTCTTTAAAAGAGACACAACTCAAAATTTGGCATTTTTGAAATTAGGCGCTAAATATATACACAGAGCTTTTATTTAACTTTCAGCAAAAGCTAGAGCAAATTTTTGTTATAATTTGTTAAAAAACCTAAGGTGATCTTCCCGAAGCTACGATTAACCTTCTTTTCGCTTTTCGCTCTACTGCCTAAGCCTTTTGCGAGGGTATACCTCCTCTTTGAGTATCTCTCTGCCCAGTACTAAATATCTTACAATGGGTCTTCTTTAAGGAACACCTCGTGCTTTAAAACTGTCAGGCGAGCTTCTGGGTATACTAATTTAGACTAAGTATATCGATCGTAGTATTTTACAGCTTTACACATCAATCTACCTAATGAGTGCAAATATGGTTTGTTCGGATTAATTTGAAGTACTATGCTTTCAAATGTGGATTGGTCTATTTTATAGGTTCACTGTTTTCATTTAGAAGGCATATAATCCTCCGTCCTTTCGCAATCACAGCAGGAGAGCGGCGGAGCTTTTTACGCCTAGCGGCCTATGCTTTTCCATACAATTTTATATCTAAATATAAACTGATTGACGTCGACCACAGAAATCCCTCCTGCACTTTTACGAAGTACTTCTGATTCTCTTTCATCGTTAAGGTGGCCTAACAGTACATCAGGCTTGGTGGATTGACCATACTGTGGGTGTGGGTTATTAAGCTGGTTTAGCATCAGTAGCAACCTCAACAAATGCTGCAAGTCTCAAAGCTCTTTTCGATTATGTTGGGAAAACCACCTGTAGGACTTTCCATATCACCGGTAACATATGTTATTGATTAACTTTGATGGGTACTATTACGGCTGCTGTATTGTGGAATTTTTTGTGCCACAGGAGAGCCCGGTTGAGGCGAAAGTTTTTGCTTCAGGGGATATTTTTTAAGAACAGCTTTTTGTTTTATTTCCTTAATTGGCCACAATAAGCGAAAATATAACTCTAGAAGTCAACCGATATACGAAGCCCTATATACGTTTGCGACTGGGTTTTTGGTAAAGCGCTAGTGGTATAACTCCGTTTTTTTGGTTCTGAAAGCAGAAAGGTAAGGGTTTGGGAAAGGATTTTCGGTGAGATTAAAAGGTAATTAAAATTAAAAAAAAATTGGAAAACGTCCTTTTAAAGTTTTTACCATTAAACATTAACGCTAATAACATTGATGGCTATCTCGAAAACGATATCAATGAATATACATATCTTTTTATATATAAAAAACGTAATTAATAAAAATATTAAATTTGTATATAAGTAATATAAAAAATTTATACATATCTATCTAAGTACATACAACAATTTTTGACATTCTTAATTAATAACGAGAAATAACTTAATTTATGAAGCTGCTATCGAGCTCGTTGCCATTATCAGGTTCCGCACTCTCCTCGCTATCATAATCGTAAATGGCATCCTTCCAGTCGCAGAGTGCTGGATATTTCTCACTTATCTTATAGATACATTTACTAGCAGCTGGACCACTTTGATAGACCGGCTCACCAAATATATTAGTGAAATCATAATTGCAGGTCATTAATAATTTCATATCATTAGCTTGCATCGGATCGCGATAGCGTATAGCTGCACAGCCCACACGATGGGCACGATCGGCGACCAACATGGTAAAGTGACCGATTTTTTTGCTGGAAATTAAAAACAATTAAAATATTAGTTTAAATATTACTTATACTATGTTTCAATATTACGAAGGGTTACATGTACATATGTTCATTAGGGTGCATTACTTTCCGTATAAAAAAAAATTAATTTGTACCTCCAAAAAATATTTCGGAAAAATATCAAGATTACTAGTTTGTTTTATAAATAAAATTAATATTTAAGAATAAATTCCCAAAAATTACCTCAGGAGAAAGAAGAGTTTTAGCTTAAATGGTATGTAAAAAAAATGCTAAAAACTTTTTTCAATGGAATCAAAATAAAAAAAAAAATTGTGAAAGGATCTGTTTTCAAATCGGTCTAGCTCACGTGAATCGTAAATCTTTTCTGAGCTATTTTGACGGATGTCTTAGAATATAAACAATTTTTTATTACCGGTGGGAAAACCGCAACTGTTGTAAATGAGGCACCCTAATGTACATACAAATGTATTTTAAACAAGTCTAGTATGGTAATTATTCAGTCTGAACAATTAAACCCAACATTACAAATCTTTTAGAAGAACATATTTACTCCGAACGATACTAACCTACGATATAAGTAACGAAAGAGCAGGTTTCTGCATCGCTTTTTTATTTTTAAGTTTCTTATTGGCTCGACGAATTTCGGGATAAAAAATATATTACAGGTCATGACCAATGTTAGGGCCAGAATTTGTAAGAAACAACAGGCTGCACTCATTTTTAAACCATCTTCGAAATAAAGCTTCCTTGAGCCTCTCTCGTTTGACATCCATATTTTATTATTTCATTTGACTTATTGAATTAAATTCTTAAACAGGTGGTAACCATTTTTGAAAATATTTTCGAAATAAAGCTTTTTTAAACCTCTTTCGATTAACTTCCACATTGTAATTTTCATTAAACTTATTAATTAAATTGAATTTAACTTTGAAACGTGTGGCAACCCTCTTAAAAAGTATTTTCAAAATAACGCCTTTTTTAACATCTTTTGTTTGATACCCATATTGTAGTATGAAATTTCAGTTATTAATAAAATCGAATTTGAGTTTTCAAACAGGTAGTAGTAACGCTCTCCAAAAATTTTTTCAAAATAAAGTCTTCTAAAATTGAATTTGACCTTTCAAACAAAAATATTTTTAAAATTAAGTTTTTTTTAACCTCTATATTGGGCCACATCCGTATTTTAATTCTTCATTCAACTTGTTAATAAAATTGAGTTTGACTTTTAAAATAGTTGGCAACCCTCAGCAAAAATGCTTAAAAAAATGCTCTGTTAAACCTCTTTTGCTTTTTTGCTATGCCATTTAATTTTTTCAAAAATATTTTAGCTTTCTTAAATCTATTTCATTTGTCAACCTTATTTCAAAATTTCGTTGAACTGATTAATTGCATTGATTTCCACTTTATTAACGGGTGGCAACGATCTTGAAAAATTATCTTATATGTAAATCCATCTAGTAGATTTAGCGTGGAAGGGCAACAAATATACTCACTCACAAGCTTTCACATTTATAATAACATAGGTAGTAAGATATTTTAGCATTTATGTATGTATGCATGTACATTGGGGAGGTAAGAAAAGTAAAGTCTGAACCCCCTAGGATTGTTCTCTGTCGAAAAAAATATACTCCCATTTTTTATTTTGAAATAAAAAAATATTTACAGGTCGCTTAAAACGCTCAAAGTTCCATGTGTTCGGAAAACTCTGGTTCTCTTCAGGAGGCTTGCATTGGGTATTAACCAATGGTTTATATAACCACTTTTTAATAGTAAAGGGGTATATTTTTTTCGGTATCGAACAATCCGACTTTTCTTTTTCACATGCATTTTGGACTACCCCAATGCACATAGTTATTTCCCCTTTCAATAATTCTCACTCACTGTGTACATAATTTAAACTCACCCCTCCGGATGTGGTGCGTAGCTATCAATGAACGTTTGATTCGCCTCACGATATTCACGAAACCAATTCAGTATAAACGATTTTATACGCTTGGCGTGCGATTTAAACTCGCGACCAATCCAAAAGAAACCGATATTCTGACCACTGAACTGATAGTGCGGCGTATTGCGACATTGATCATGTTCAAATTGACAGCGTTTGACATGCAACGTGGCCAAGTATTCCAATTCATCGTCCCACTTGAGCATTGGCATATGAGCTGCTGGCCGATAGCCCTCCAACTGGCCGGAGGCGATGCGTTCGCGGGCAAGATTATGCATATCCAAAATGAATTGCCGTCGTCGTTGGCTCATGTAAAGCAGATGTGGTTTAGCGCCACAGGACGGCCCAAAACCGCCATCGCTATCGCAACCAATGTGCGGTACTTGGAAAACATGGCTGCCATTGTAGAGTTCACAAAGCGATGGTGTACAATAGATGTTGGCGGACTTGTTGTTGTTATCAGGTACGTTGGTGGAGGTGGAAGTGTCTGCCGTAAGAGTGGCATTGAAAATGCTGTTGGCGCTGTTGTTTATTGTATTTTTGGCAGTGCTAAAAGTCGATATTTCAGTTGTAAATTCTTTGACCACCTCCGCGTCAGCAATTGTTGTTGCTATTGTAGATATTGCTCTTGTTGCTTTTTCCTGCAAGTGTGCATCTTTTTCAACCGCTTCTGTATTAACCAGCGTCTGATGCGCAACTATAACCGTTAAAAAGGCTTGCAATAAAAGCTTTTTCTTGTAAAACATTTTCGAAAAAATTATCTCAACTTCTCTTCAACTGATTTCAGCACCGCTCTAAGCCGTTAACAAAACGCAACTGAGCAGCATTCATTGATTTATTTGTGTATTTAGTGAAAATATTTTTCCAATAGCTGACTGATCGCGCAGCTGTGAGTGGCCAGCAGCAGCAGCAGCAGCAGAAGAATGCTAAGATGCTGCTAATACTGGTACCTTACTAACCGCGCAGTTGTCTAACTGTTGACGATCCCATCACCGTCGTTCATCAGCCATCAATCGATTGATTGAGGTTCATTAAAGTTAGCTTGATGTCAGTTACAACTGTCCATATACATATACATACATTTAATCATGTATAAATTGCTGGCTGGTAATTATACAGACATATAATAGAGATGTTTGCATATTTTTATTCTCATATGCAAGTATGTAAAATTAGCTTGCTTTTTATCACCAGTTGCGAGTCGATCTTTTTTGTTGAAGAAGCCAAACAAATATTCCAACATACAGTGCCGGCCACTTGCATAGCACCCGATTTTGATCTTCAGTATTGACAGTTTACTTTTTCAGTAGTGACAGTTTTCATTTACTTAGGGTGTCGCAGCTTTCAATGACTCGCCAGTAAACCCATTGTAGATATTAAACTTGTATTCGGGATAGTCATTAGCTGCCTAAACCTCTCGGTGTTGCAACTTCTTATAAGTTTATGGCCCCAGTTTAAAGCCCCACGTCAACGAATTCATTGAGCCTTATCAGTGCGGCTTTAGATCTGATCAATCCACCTAGACCAGGTGTTTCACCATACGCCAAAGCTTGGAAAACACAAACGTTCCAGTCTTGAATGTATTCCTATCTGAACCGACTGGTGGTGGCAATGAAAGTTGTAGGCCTGCTCTGAGAAAGAAATACCAGGTGGAGAAGGACTTGGCTTCATTTGGCATTTCTAATTGGCGTCAGTTGGTAAAGAAGAAAAAATTTAATTGATTTGATAAAAGTATTTAAGTAGTAAATACGCATAGTCCGTGAATGGAGCATTATAATACGAAATTATATTTATCTCTTATGTGAACGTTTACAATAAACAATTTTTAATCAAATTTGAGACAAATTTCTTAAAAGCCCGATACCAAAGGTTTCCCTTTTGGCAGACAAAAAAATACTTTCGATTGTACTCTAATGACAATGCAGCCGACACAATTATTTTTTAATGCTAAGTCATATACGTTTTCGGTACAATAGGGTGCATCACTCTCCATACAAGAAAAATTGGTACTGATTTTACATCGGAATTATAAAACCTATTATATTTTAAGACTTTCGCCAAAATATTTGATTTCGATTTGAAAATACCTCCAAAAATTTTATTATTTTAATTCTGTTGATAAAAGGTTCGAACATTTGTATGCAGACTCTTTAAGCTCAAACTCTTCTTCCATCTGAGGTGATTTTTTAGTATAAATATTTTTAAAAACTAAAATAATTTATATAAAAACTAATTTTTGGACGTCTTTTCAAGACGGTACAGCTCACGTAAAGCTTAATGTTTTGGCAGAAGTCTTTAAATATAATCGAAAAACCGCGACCTTTTTTGGTGAGACAACCTAATGTACATGCATATATACATACATGAGTATACGAACTAACGATAATGAGAAAATACTGATACAACTAAGCGCCAATTTTCTTTTATGCGGCGAAGAAATAGTTTAACGAACTGAAAAAAATTCAATAAATTTAAGTTATTGTGTAAACAAATAAAAATGTGTACGGAAGTAATTTATGGATTTAAAATGGCTCAATTAGTTTCGTCTAAAATGAATGGCGACTGCTCAGCACTTAACTATGAGTAAAAAAAAACACAAAATGTTGAGCTAAAAGGTAAACAAATTGTAGTACCTACACACAGTAAAAAATTGCGGTATCTTTTTGCAGGTCATAAAAAAGTATAAAATGAATATTAATTTTTCAAAGCCATTAGAAAAAAATTTGGAAAAGCTTAAAGTTTTTAAATTTTTTTTTTTGATAAAGCTAATAGTTCGATGATGAACCAGATATGCGGCAAGGAAGAGCAGGTTATTCTATAAATAAATATATATGTGAATTATACAGGGTGTCCTAGACCGACCCTCTAAAATGGAGGGAAACGTTTTTTATTCACCTCTGCACCGCCTAGCCTAAATCGGGGATGCTCAATCTTTCGGTGGTACTATCGACTTCCGGTTTCGACCGGAATTGGGTTATACTGACCGGAAGTCCATTTTTTTAAATGGGATTAAAATTTTTTTACACTGATTCGGATTCTGCGCAAAGAAATACGTACCTCTTATCTGAAACCTTTTCCGGTTTGGACCGGAAGTCCACTTTTTTCAAATAAGATATACATGGTTTTACTACAGATTCGGATTCCGGTGACAAAAATACCCAACTCTTACCGGAAGTCGACAATACCACCAAAAGATAGATCATCCTCGATTAAGGCGGTACAATTTTTGCGTTTTTCAGTAAAAAACATTTCCCTCCATTTTAGAGGGGGTGGACGGGTGGTCTAGGACACCCTGTACTTGTACAAACCTAACTAATATCTACTTGTAAATGAGTAATTAATTAGTAAATAAAAACTATTAATTATGTAAAAATATGGGAGCAGGAGCAGTGAAAAATATTTTCAAATTAATAGAAGAAAAAAAGAAAATAATTATTCAATCATAATGCTCACGTGCAGTTTTCCTCGACTAAAGTAATGATTTGTGATAATAAATTAATAAATTACAAGTTAATTACAGACATAGATACATATCTAAAAATGTAAATATCTGCAATTTTTAACCACACATGTTCCTCGGTAGATTGCATAATTAAATAAACTTACATTCATACATACATACATATGTACATACTGTGCACATGTAAATATTTAGTATTAAAGAAGATTGTTTAAATAGCAAGTAAATTGCATTACAGGCATTTTTGCATACACATTTTTTAATTCCAGACTTACTTACATACATACATATCAGTACTATGTAAGTTTCTCTGTTTTGCTTAGAGGCTACTCCTATTTCATTAGCTTCAGATGTTTAGGGCCAATTGTACACACATAAATTGTTTAGTTATTTTGTTATTCTGTCGCTTGGAAAACGTGATGTAGTTATTAAAAAAAATTAAATAAAAAAGAAAAATGCATAAATACATATGTATATATGTATGTAGGAAAAACAAAGGGGAAACCGAAATTTAAAGAACAATGCAAGTAAACAGCACAAAATGTATAAGCTGAAGTAATAATTTCGTCGGTATAACGAAGTTGCAACAGTTTGCGTCATCAGAATAGTCACTTTTAACGAAGAGAATACATACATATAACAGAGCAGAATACATTATTGATTTGCCCCAAAAAGAAGTGAGCGGCAGAAATACGTGAGTGCGAAGAGCTTGAAATGCTGGCTGACAGGGAAAACGCCCGAAAATTTTTTCCAGAGAGATAGGCGACTTACACAGAAGAACCATGGCGGCCTAGTGACCGGTGTCTAGAACGTACTTAAATTATGGAGCAAATACTTTCCACCACCTGACAATGACGAGGTACAAATAGCGATTACACCACTGCTGGAGCAAACGACCAGCTAGTCGAGCTATTCAAGTACGGAGACTCCACCACCGTCAAAGAACCGCTTGGGCGTTATCAGTGTGCCTGGCTATGGTGGAACATCCACCACAGATCAGGTATTCACAATAGGCCAATTATTGGAAAAGTCTCGCGAGCATGAGGATCAATCCATACCATCTATTTGTCGATTTCAAAGCCGCTTTCTACAGCACGAATACATGAGACAATCAACGCCTTGAAGATTGCTTTTCGCCGTTACTGAGACAAAATACCACAAGACCACATTCGTGCATTCAGACCCGTTGTTATTATCCACGTTAAAGATGGCTACATCGAACAGTATGTAATACATTTTTCTTAAACCGTGACTAGTTCTAGTTCTTATGATGATTTGATGTTTTCGAATAGAAAAAGCAAAATAGTCGAGTGCCTACCCCTTTAATAGCCGAAGAACGGAAACTCTCAGGCATAATACTTTACAAGGGCGTACAATTGCTGGCGTATGTCGACGACATCGATATTATCGGTAAAACAAAGGCTACGTCTATTCGGCTTGATCAGAGTTAGATAGAGAAGTAAAGCGAATGGGCCTGGTGGTGAACGAGAAAAAGAAGTAGCTCCTGCCATCGCACAAACAGTCAGAGCATAAGCGCCTTGGCACTCACTGTTGACAGTTACAAAGTCTGAAAATGTAGACGACTTCATTTATTTCGGAACCAACATTAACACTAATAATAATGTTAGCCTTGGAATCAGCATGGCGAATATCGCAGACGATTTAACGATGAGCTGAATGAGCTTTACAATGATGTACATAGGTAGACATAGTGATGCGAATTAAAATGCAGCGGCCCCGTTGGCTTGGTCAAGTCATCGAGCGGTTAGAAACGCCCCAGCTCTGAAAGTATTCAACGCCTCCTCTGCTTTGGAAAGACCAGCTGGCTTCACTGGACATTTCCAATTGCCGTAAGTTGGAGAAAAGACTGGCGTGCTTTTTTGGACTCGGCCGAATTCACTTAAGCGGTTACAGCGCCAATAAAAAGGAAGATTATAGTATAAAGTAGAATCAGTCACGTAGCCAGGAAGGGTACAGAGTGCGTAAAAAGTTACGCGCTCTTTCAATCAAAACATATTTGAATCTACCTCTAATGGTCACAGAGTATTACAAACATAAACAATAACTAATAAAGCTTGTGAGATAAAGTTATAAATGCGAGACTTGCAAAATAATCTCAGTTAATATATCTTCATAAATTGCTTGATTAATTTATTATCTGTTCAATGTACTTTTATACTAGAGGGCTGCATGAATTCATTCAACACGGCTTAAGAATTAAGGTATCCCCACACCTATGCGATTCGGTCGGTGCGAATCTGTTCCGAAAAAAATTACAACAATGCCGACAACAGTTTTAAATGAGGAACCACAAACTTGTACGATTTATTCGAACATTCACAGTTCTTTTCGTCGTGCCGCAATCGCCATATGGTAGAAAATTTAAAACAAAATGT